GCGAGTCGCATGAAGGGTGAGCTGCATCCTGCTAAGGGTGTTCGGCATCTTGTGCTTACTTCCTTGCGTACGGATGACAGCTGCGTATGACTTAATTTATTTTCTGGTGCTTTCACTTCCAGAGACAGTTGTAAGCACTGTGTAACTGCCTCGAGGAAGCTTGACCAATTTAACACAACGTGGTGCGATCATCCCCCGTTGCGCGGAGTGAGGTTTCTCGACCCCGCACAACATGATCTACTCGACCACCGTTATGGTTACCGCAAAAAAAAAAAAACGAGGTAAAAAAAAAAAAAACGGTAACCTGGTTGCCGAGTTCACGAAGTGAATTGGCTTGTTTTACAACGTCGTTGCCAAGCGACGAAAACCCAATCCCGATGGCAAACACCGAGTGGGGGGCTTGTTTTACAACGTCGTTGCCAAGCGACGAAAACCCAAACCCCGATGGCAAACACCGGGGGGGGCGGCTTGTTTTACAACGTCGTTGCCAAGCGACGAAAACCCAACCCCGATGGCAAACACCGGGGGGGATCAAGCTGGCTGGGGGAGGGCCATTTCTGGAGTAGGGACTGCATCATCTAAACTGGACACGCCACTTGCTTCTGCGGACGCGGTCGCCGCACACGAGAAGCTGCTGCTCAACGACTTCAAAGAAATAAAAAGTGGCAAGCTGTCTTCTTGTTGTGTTGACGTAGTTACTACGCTATTAGCTAACCTCGCTGCAATCGACACACAGCTGAAAGGTCTACTGCTGATGGTAATGATACAAAGACACAGGCATTGCCGTCATACCCGGCCCCGCCAAAATACATTCCTCGTCGTTGTGTACGTTTTGAAGCGCCGAGGACCATCCGACATTTATTCCAACAACATCGCATGCCTCCCCACACCGAGAAACCCCTCCCAACCTGTCGATGTTCTCGTTGATGGGTCTTCCTATTTCGGCGAGGTTCTTTCGTCTCCCGGTTTGATTGTGAGAATCTTACTATATATCATCGCGTTGTTGGTGAATACCGAGTCATTTTTTATTTCTCTCGTTTTGAAGTGCGTCACCTCACTCTTTGGGTAGTTAGCCTGTGACCACCGAATTAAGGAATAATAAATACACACACAGAAAGACTACCCATTCGAGATATACCCACAGTCGAACGGGATGCTTCCGCGTCTGTTCGACCGGTGCGGATCTATGGAGGAGGTACTCAACAGATACCGCAACGAACGGTTGATACTGCGGTGAAGACAACAGCAACAACATGATTTACCTGTTAACTGCTGTATGTAGTCTACAGCAGCAGCTGTAGACCTTTTTTTTTTTGTGTGTTTTTCTGCCACTCACAGCGGACATGGAGCAGCATGATGACACTCCGTCGCCACCAAAACATAGAGTAGTATGCTGCAGCGCGGAGTTGCTGACTTGACAGGAAAAAAGAATAACATCAACACCGCAGGAAAAGACGGTAAACACCGGCTTTGCAGGGGTTCGTGTCATGAAAAAAAAAAAACGAGAGATAGATCGTGCGAGACCACCACTCACATTTTCCCCACTCCCATCTCATAAGCTCCATCCAGCTCACCACCCCCATAACGACCGCGCCCGCCATCCAGATCGCGCACGATAGGCATCTCTCACAGGTCTCCTGAGTTTGCGCGCTGACGGCCGTCCCGCTCTCTCCGCGCTTCGATGGTCGATGATCCCCACCGCATGTTCTCTCCCCCCCCCTGGTTACTCTCCCTGGCTGACAAACACAGTCTGGGAAAAAGTCCTCGATCGAGCGCTCCTTCCTGAGCTTGCACCAGCGCCCAAGATTCTACCTCCGCAGCACCCCCAGCATTCCGTCCTCTCCGGTGGGCCAGAGCCCGATCCTACCCGGCGCGGCGGGGGCGAAGATGCGGGCATTGGCAGAGCACCTGTTTCCAACGGAAGTCATCATGGGGTTGCTGAGAGGTGAGCCCCCAAAAGATATCGTACGAGCTTTGCCCTCAGAGCTCTCAGAATTGTGTGATTTCTCACCGGCGTTGAAGGAATACATATGGCTGCGAAGATAGAGGCGCACCATCACCACTGCTTCCTGTGTCTGTGGGGTCTCTGTTCTTTGGCGGGGAAGGGTGGGCGTGGCGCGAGGGTAGACTCCTCCGCTCTCGGCCTTTTGCGGCAACTATGTATTATATGTTCATTTTTTTTTTTTCGGTTTCGGTGAGAATATTTTCGGTTCTTTGACAGGGTTCCGACCACAAACTGCTGTCCACACCGCATACCGCATACCAGGAACTGGATCACAGATACAATGATACAATGCCAGGCGCTACAACCACGCGGTCTGCAGCCAGAGGAGGTTCGGTACGTGGACTGCGTTACAGTCGCGGTGGTGGAGGTTCGGGGGCCGTGCGTGGGCAGGGTGGTAACAGACCTGCGAGGGGGGCGTCTGCCAAGAAAACACCCTCACCTGATCGCGGACTCCCTCCGCGTCACCCGGCGAATCGTCGCTCGAAGCGTGGTCAAGAACAAAAGGATGACGACAAGGAGGACGAGGCTATCGCGGCCCTAGTTACCCTAGAGCAAGGAGGTCCGCCGCCCGCTGGTACTCCCCCGCGTCATGAGCCAAATGCTGCTGGTGCGCATGGGTCTGCCGGGAAGAGGACGCCAAGAGGGCGATTGCATGAAGACGGAGGATCCTACGCCACAATGAACAACGCGGGTGGTAAGGGACTACCGGGTTCCATACCTAGTATGCCAGGCTTCTCCTTGGGTGGCGAGCGGAGCAATGCTGGTGGTGCGTCGGGTTCGCAAGAGAAGCGGGACGAAGGTGGGGGTGATTCGCAACAGCGTGATGAATCCGCCGCACTTCCAGGCGGCGGATCTTCAGTCAGGCTACGTGGTGCCCTACCTGGGAGCGGAGGCGGGAGTCGGAGTGGTACACATGCGAAGGCCGGAGGAGACGGCTCAGCCCAGAACGGCGAAAACACTGGCGAAGGAAGCGGGAAAGGGAAAGGGAAAGCGAAAGGGAAAGGGAAGCAACGTGGTGCTTCGACCGCGTCGGGCTCAGTTGCCACGCCGGCCACACCTCCGCCGACTGGCAAGCGCCAGCGACATGGGAAGGCCAAGAGGACAGGGGCGTCAGTCGAGGATGAGGACGCCGAGGAAGAGGACCCGGTACGTCGTGACTATTGGATGCGTACTGCTGTTGATCTGTATGGTTAGTGCTTGGTGTAATGCTCTGCTCTCCGTGGCGTAGGTTGGGCGCCTTCTTCTCTTTGTATTCGATCGAGCACGTGAGTTTGGGGTAATGCGCCTGTCACCGCCCTCGTGACATTCATGGCGACACTACTACTGCTGTCGTACTCCGTTTGTTGTTGATCGCCATCAGACGTCCAAACCGAAGAAGTCGAAGAAGACAGCCAAACAGCGGGGAGAGAAGGCCTCTGAGGATCACCGTCCGGTAGGTTGGACTCTACAAACACCTTCGATTCTGTTTTTTGACAAATTTGCATCAGTGGTTTACTGTAGGTCAATGGTTGTCTGCATTATTGACGGGCAACATGGTCGAAATGTATTGGTGCAGGCGTGGAGTTCAAATATCAAGCTCAGGAATTTCCTGCTCAATCGCGCAATGTACACCCGGCAGATCAAGGATATCGTCTAGAGGCTTATCAATTGTGGTGGTCCTCTGTGCACTTGGTACTATTGGATTCCTTCCATGACAACCTTGCGATCTTGTTTTCCTTTTCGACAGTCCGGGGCGAAGCCGAAGGGGAAGAAAAAGATGAAGTCACCAAAAGCCCGACAGCAGGAAGAAGAGGGCTCTGCCGACACGGTGGGTTGGGGTTAGGCTGATACAATTCCTGTTTCAATTAGCATTTTACCGCGCATATCGTGTCAAGGGGGAACATCTGCGTGCCTCTCACTTTATTGCGAAAGCTATGCCAGACAAGTTGGGTGACGATAGACTGTGCTGCAGCCGCGGCACATCTTTTATGCTTTAATAACCCTCTTTGGAGTCTTAAGACGTTCCGATCATTAGTTGATTATTTGCGAAAACTGGCGTGGTACAAAAAGCCGTCGAGTTGCCGCCACGTACCCCTCCAAAACGGGTGCTGGAAAGTCCATACATACGTGTACCCGGGCTGCTGGCGGTATGTTGTGATCGGCCTCTGATTGGAGTCCTATTGGTGTATCCTGTTGTAATGTCCTACACCATATTACTGGACATGAGCGACAGTCCAAGGCCAAGTCCAAGTCCAAGTCGAAGGGGAAGAAGAAGGCGCGACAGCAGGAAGAAGCTGAGGACCCCGATGACAACGACCCGGTAGGTTGTGGAGTACGGCTGGTACCTGTAGTATTGCTTGGTCTTGCAGTCCGTCCCAACGAAGTAAAGTAGATGGCATAGTTTGGTACCGTAGCGTGCGTGCCTCTGACTTGATTTCGGCGGTTGCCTCCGACAAACTGGCTGACGCTTGATGTTGATAGCAATATTTGCGCAACGTATGGAGCGGTAGTGGCTGCTGGTAGTGGGCAACAGGACACAGCACCTCTCATATTTCGTGTTTTTCCACTACAGACGTGCAGAGTCGGACTACAAGAGACTCCATAGCGCTGATTCCTCTAGGGATACTTTGCCTAACTGAAGGAGGCTCGCGCCAGTGTACCATTAACGTATCTCGAGCGCACCCAATATCAAGTCTAACCCTGAGCTCCCGTCTGTTGTTAACCTGACACTATGCCTAGTTCGGTGTTTGCCCTCCAACACCATAACAATCTACTCAAGGTATCCAATAGCCAATAGGTTGTCTTGATAGGGCGGTGACCGATACGCACTGTCGACTCAATATTTAAATCTGCGCTCCTGTCGACCTGGCTTGAAGTATGCAGTGTTGGGTTTGGAGCGAAGGGTGGCAATAAACCTACGGCAAGTGCAGTTGCTGCACGTGCGTCTCGCTCTGTGTGTATGTGTATGGCTAATATAGGGGTGTTTGATTTAATTAATTTAATTAATTGTTTT